CATTCCTGGATGATTTGGCCAGGAATACAAGAATTCTCCAAGACCCATCAACTGATATTGGACGCAGATTGCAAAAGTGCGAGACGGTTCACGTGTTCAGAAGGATCGCAAAAAAGCACCAAGTTTGGAAAAGGCGATCTCGTAGACATCATGGTGACTCGTATCATGCACTCTACAAGTACACCCGTGATTTTGCAAATCATTTCCCGCGATCACCTACTCATCTCAACACGGTCAAGTTTTCCATTTACACTTGTCCCTCTAAAAGATTGCAGCCCTCCCTACCGACGCTTACACAAGGTGAGAAAGGAAACAAGCACGATGAAGGAGTTCCCCCCCGATAGTCGGTCATAGGGCGCCGGTGAAGGGTGGGGGTCACAAAAATCTTGTGATCGCCACTTCATCCCAGCACCACATTACCTCGCGTCAAAAGAGCAGACACTTAGCTCCAAGCTGTACATCGCAGTCAATTTACAGAAGTCGTAAATGTTGTCGACTTCTTTTCTCTCTGGTTAGAGTGGAGACGATATAACAAACAATCCATACTAGCAAGTGGTCATGCAACAATTGGGAATACACCGTGTGCATCTGGTTCTAAAAATTGCAGATTCGTTAGCTTCCTGCGGCACACGGGTTGGGGTGTACTCGTCATTCTTTCTGACGATTGAAAAGTGCACCTTGCAGTCCGGATGCAGTGCGAGCTGCAAAAATCTTAAAATTGCATAATACTTAGCTCCTCAGACGAGAGCGGTCGCTGTAATCATACTCGGCATGGCGCCAGCCAGCGGAATCAAAAGACTTTTGATTCAAGTAGTATCAATTGTGGTGCAAAATTAATTCGTGTTAAGGCCCTTTCAAACTGGTAACGCAGGTGAGGGCCAGTGGCTGTAATAATTGCGGTGAGCGAGCCCTAGAAGCTCTATCTGGGCGAAGTAGGAGCGCAGATAATAACTGCGTTGCTTCGGATACGGTCTAGCCTTGGAAGTTACAGTCTTATCGTCGACCCGGAACTTCACTGAGAAAATCTCAACCGTTGTAGGCGATTCTTAGCCTAGCTGATTCCGCCAATCTATCTGTGTTGGGTGGCGAGTTCACATATTTAATGCGCGAGACCACAATTTTCACCCTCTTCCAACCGGGCTGCGTATCCAATATAGATCGAATATTCAGGATCGCAAATCGGCATCAAGACCAGCTTCAACAGAAAGATTGGTTGTAAGATGTCCACCATATGTATCAGTAAAATGGCCCCTTATCTAGCTAAGCAATCATAATCCCAACGTCGATACCAAAACTGCTGAGAATGTCTTTGCCAGAAATAAATTGGTCTTCTTCGTCGTCCAGGAAGAGATTGTCAACATGAACGATGCTGAAAGGTCCTGAAGCAGTACGTACTTGGACGTACAAGTTCACACGCTTGCGGCAGACCGACGTGGCACCCCCAACCACCCCCATACTAATAGGGTGACGGAGGGTGGTAGCCACTTGAGCGTCGAGTAGGAGCCAAGCAAAAGACTGCGGAGAATGATACATCCGAACCCGATTCAGCGTATCTATGATACATCCGCTAGAAACGTTGATAGATGTGAGTCTCCATTCTTGATTCGAAGAGAGTGTTGCGCGCTTTGCTGAGGCACGTGCAACCGTGCGCTCTCGCATGGCTCGTTTGGCTTCATTTTTCTGTACTTTGGATGATGTTAAACACTTCGACACCCAATGAGGACTTTTGCACACCGGACAGACATCGCGGAATGGTGTGGAAGTTGCTGGTTTCGATGAACGCTACTTTGACGATCGAGACATGTCATCGCCGTTCATGGAACCCTTGACTTTCTGGGTATAAGACTTGCGACTGATCGGTGTTTTACTTTGTTTCTGTTTCGGCTTTTCATCCATTCTCATCAGATTTAGTGCTGTTTCCGACGAGCACGTTCAAGAATCAGATTGTATAGAGCTCCTTCATTCGCCTTTGCCTCCCGATGCTCGAGGGCAACGATACGCATGATCTCACGCTTCAGCACTGTGGGCGCGAGCTTATCAACCAGAATCGTGGTCCTGTTGTTTGTCTGCACCATCGCATCGTTGTCTTTGGTCTCGTTGTATCCCGGTACACTTTGGACACCAAAGTTGCCCAAGACCTTGGTAAAACAAGCGGTATACTTTCATTTCCGGGCTTCAATGTCGTCTTCGTTGAGGTCCGTTCGCAGCTTCTCGGCGAAAAGAGCCTTAAAGCTCGGGAGATAATTATACTTCACCGTCCTGCAACGCCGATTGATCTCTTGCTCAATACCTGAGTCGTCAAGCGTCTCCACATCCTTGTCAAAGACAGCGTCATGTTGGTGAGCATTTCCGCATCGATAAAGTCCTTACTACTCACTGCGATGGTGCCATAATGCTAGCCTGTTGCAGATCAGGGCTCGTGAAGAAGTTACCCATACTTCTCCCGCTGGCTTCATCAGCGGACTAATGACACCTGGTTGCATTGAATAAGCGTGGCGTTGTGATATGCTCCGGTGCGGTGATGTGCGCGGGCTTCATCTCGACGTCTCCATCATCCATCTGGAAAGTCGATATCTTCTTGCGCTAAGATGCCGGCTGTGCTTAACCTGAGCTTGCTATACCAAAAGGATACTTTGTGGTGGATCCGTGCGCTTGGAGGCAAGTTGAGAAGTGTATCGTGTTTATCACTTCGATATTCGAGACGATGAGAGAGATCTCATCTCGAGGGGAAGATAAGCGCATTGACGATGTGTTGTAAACATCATTTGCGAAGACATTTTGATCATCATCTTGGCATTTCTGGATCACTTGTCATTTTTCTCCTGATATCCCGATCGTTTGATCGACGAGCCTCCACGCTGTCGCGACTTCGCAACCATATCAAATCCGCTTTCATGACCTTTATTGATAGAAAGGATCATTTTGCTCTATGTTACAAAATATTGGACTCAGGACACTACAATAGTACGCGTAGTGTCCTATGGCAGTGATTGCACCTTAGCAGCTTAACAATCAGCTATAACTCAGACTAGTAACCTCCCCCGAGGCTACAGGAAAAGCGGAAGTTTAGCGCCCCATATACGATGTTGTGTTGAGAACGAAGTATCTTGCTGGGTATCTTGATCTCGGCACATCAGCGCACATGTAGCGCTTGACCTTCTCGTTTCCTCTAGCCTCAGTGGACGATAGGTATCATTACCGCACTTACAATAAAATGGCGGATCAGCTAGCAAACATCGCTATGGGTACAGATGCTTCTATTCAAGTGAACGCGTCCTCCGAACAAGGTGTTGTCACGGGGGCTTCAGCCTTTCTCAACAATGATGTCAACCACTGGCTGGAGGCCTCTCACACTGCACAACACGAATTACAAAGCCCTGCACTGACGCCGAGGAACCTGTTCATCTCTAGACACGAGACTGCGCGTAGGTGCTCTGCTGTCCGAGGGCTAGTGCTAACCAGTCTATGAAGCAGTCGTTGTCGCGGTAACGCTGTTGCCCGATCATAGGATATAGTTAGTCGTCCGTGTCGCCTTGCATATGTTGAGCTTTGATGGCGTAGTCCAGCTCCATGGATAATCGTTTCAAAGGGTTTCACTCAACTACCTTGAACCAGCTCGATGTCATTTCTTGAATCGAAGCACATGCGTCGGATTGCCAACAAAATCATGAGATTGTTGTTGTCGATACAGTTTGGCTTTCGATCATCCTGTTCCGCAACAGCTTTAACCGTCGTAAACCTTTCTAGTGAAGCAAGGTTATCGTCCTTTCTGTGGCACTGAAATCATGCTGCATGAGATTGACATTTGGTGCACGTTAACCGTTCCCTATTATATCGTATAGTATGATGCTCTTTCCCATTTCGATCGTACGACATGGCGCTTACGGCCGAGCCACCAACGATCAAAATCACTCATTCACCCGTAGCATGCTGAACATCGCGCATAAAGAACAAATTCTGGTCGTAAGCAAGAAAGCTTTAGATTTATCACCAAATTCATGGTAAGTGGTTGGGTGACTCGGAGCCTCTCGCACACGTCCGTGCAGACTTATTGAGACTACTGATAACACGTAAGAGAACGCGTGAACAAAAGTAAATTGATCACCGCTAGTTATAAACAATATCTATTTTGTTCTGACCTGTAAATTACTACATCAAATTCAAACATGAATCCAAAGTATCTAGTTTACCTCATATTGCGCACGTTCTTGTATCCATTACAAGTGTTGTTGTTGATCCAACGGTCGGTACCAACGAATAAGCAAAAGAACTAAATACGCAGTTTACAATGATATTCAATATATATTTACGAATACTACTTCTGCATGACGTTAGTGCAGTGTCAATGTCATGTACCGGTTTTATCCTATTCCACCAAATATTTGCGTGGATGACGGTTTCCTTACGTAAACACAATTCGGAAAAAGAGCGGTGTATATGGAAGGTCTAAGTTTGGTGGTAACGTAAGTCATAGGTCAACACTTCTCAACGAAAAGGGGCTACTACGAGTACGAAAGGTCGATCCGCTACCAGCTAGCTCGAAATTTGCGATGTTTGAATCTTCTTATCTTTTTGTGTTCATAGGGCGATATCGACGACAAGATCCTAGCATCGACGATTCTATACACGAGTCTTTATCTATATTTATAAAGATCCTGGGTACATGTACTGATGTAACTTTGCATCGTGTATTATTATCTAGATGTATATTCCAAGCTATCTCTATTTTAAATTATGGTGGATAATATCGTTTTTGAATGGCAATTTTACATTTCAAAGTCGTTTAAACCTAAAGCCATGTCGGTCAAAAGATCGTCGGTAAATTAAGGAAGAGGTCTCCTCTCAATTAGAAACCTCTTGAATTTGATGACTATGTCAGCTTTAGAAATAGTAGCAGCCTAAACCCCATGCGACGAATTTTTAATCACGAGCACCGGGACACCAGAGTGCGCCTCTTCTTGTAATCAATTTTGTCATTTAGGTAGTACGCAGTTTCGTCCATGAGCAAGAAGAAGGTGGTGCTGGAGGAAGAGCAGTACGTCGAGAAACTCGGCCAGATCATTGAGCGTGACTTCTTCCCGGATCTTTCCGTCCTCAAGAGACGGACAGAGGTGCAGTTCATGTACTTCGTGTACTCGACGCATGGACTCATGGAAACTTAACAGCCCGTTGAACTGCGCTGCTGCTTTTTTATGTCATTTGTGCTGTGTATTGGATAAAGTTCAGCTGTTCCAAAACGACGAGAAAAGTGTGGTACGCGTGGACACAATACCACGTGGGACGAGACTTGGAGACCGCACGTCCGAGCGAAGTGACGCGAGTGGCGTGGGATGGGATCACGCGCCAGAGCCGTTAGTTGACCACGACTTGAAGCAGAAGGACGAGATCGATGCTGGAGACAGTACCACGGCGTCGATGACGCTGGACCGCTTTGTGGCAACGTACACTTCAGAGGACAATGAATCGTTCAATGAACTGCAAGATAAGGCATTGAGAGACCATAAGCGACGGTATCATTGGGCATACGATGACGACGAGGAGAGAGGCGATCCAAAGCTTCACCTGTTGACGGATGGGACATGGATTACAAAGGAGAAGCGGCGGATCGTCGACGAGTCGTGTGCTCCAAAAGGTTTTCCGGTGGAATGGCTGTCAGTTTGTGGTGCGCTTGGGACCATGGGACTGATCGATGGATTTGTTGAATTTGCAGGCCCGAAAGACACGAGACCTAGCGCACCCGAGACATGGAAGTTTCGTGCAAGAAATTTGCTGTTGTTTCCACCGGATTCCCCATCATCGCGAGATGTACGTAGGGTACAATATTGGTGTAGTTTGACTTGACAGAATTGGGAACTGCTAGCCACAGAGTATGTTTCCAACACTTTCTGGATGTGAATAGGTGCCAGCTGGCTCAGAAGACCGACAGTTGCTTAATTATGATCCGAGGTCGCATACGAGACAGCCACCAAAGGCGAGAAAGAAGACGGTGTATGCGAACTCAAGGTTTCCTCGCGAAAATGCACGAGTGCGTATTGGTCCACTCTGTACGCCATAACTTGCGTATCGAAGTCTTACCGTGCGTTGAGTTGCAGTGTGATGCTGTTGAAAGTAGCGGGATATCATCGTCACCTCGAAAGGATTACTCGTTGATTCCGATGACGCCACTAATTGCACCAGGTGTGCATGGAAGTCCACTGATGACCTGGGGAGAGATTGAAGGCACGCCAGCAGAACTTGGAGCCGTGTCAGGTATGAACCGCCAATGCGAGGCCAAACAGCAAGAGCCTAAGCCATTGATGTTTCTGTTTCTAGTCCGCAATATGCATACACCAAGTTTCGAGCTCCAAGAGACGTCGCGACGGGAGAAACTTGCCAATCGATTGGAGTCAGAAGCTGTACGGATTTGTCACAATGTTTGTGATGGCGATAAGTGAGTGCAAGCGTGAAACTGATTTGTATTCATTCGTGACTCAGCGCCATCGCAACCTCGATTCACGAACGCTGGGGCTCAAGACTCCGTTGAGGAAGCGCCCGGAAGTCGATCGAAGGTCAATGTCACGCAGTGTTCGTGCCCGCATTTCTAGTGTTCGATCGACTCCACTAGGATCCGATGTGCAATTGAGGGCAAGCTATTCTACACCTTCACGACCCCCGCGTCATTTTTCGAAGCCACGGAAATGATCAGATGGGAGGTGTTGATGCGATCGAGCACGAGCGTGGTCACTCACCAGATGCTCACGCGGCTGTAATGGCTGAAGAGATGTCGGCATCATTGCTTGCGACACTACTGGGTTTACGGTCCTCAGTCGTTGAGCTCGGAGCAGTCCGGCAGCACAAAGGGCATTGAGTTCAGCTATTCAGATTGCTATTAAGCTAATGGGCATCGACTGAATTCTGATTTGATTGCATTAGGTCGCCGAAGTGTCAAGAGCTTACGCATCGACAAGTTGTGAACACTTTGCCGAGCTGAACCTTGTGGATTTAACGTGTGTTGATCCAGGCATCGAGTCTCACAAAAGGTATTCTCACGACACGAGCGATGTATCTGTGAGCTCTAAACAAAAACTATTTGCGTGGAATGGTAATGACATCGAAGGGTATTGACACCGATTTTCTCCGTATTCAGCACTTTGTGCTGACCACGTGAGGCACACAAGATTCACTATGCCGGACAAACCCACTAGGCGCTCACACAATCGTTGCCTCGGACGTGTGTCCCATGAACGGATTGACAAAGCACAAAATTACGCTTCGTATCCACTGACTGAGCAAAACGGATGGGCGTAGGTAGCTCATGTAGCTCCTTCTTTATGCGAACTTGCACTGCTTGTCAGCAAAGTGAAAGTCCGATCGGATGAAGATCGCGGACGTTGAGACAGTAGACACCTGCGTACTCCGGCTGAAGCAAACGTCACGGCTAGAATATGTTGAACCGCTGCAATATGGACAAGAAACGAATGTGAAAGGCCTCATTCAGCCTACTGGTCTTGTTGCGTGTTCTAGTCCAACACACGTCGACTGGATCCCATCCACATACATTTGGTGGTCATCAATCGGTCTGTATGTTGCTGCGGTCGGCGTTCCGAGAACAGAGCACGAAGCGTTCGAGAACTCGCGGGCGCGAGAACACGTAAGCACATTTAGCGGTGTGTTCTCAATGAAAGCAAATGGGCTCATCGATGACATGACTTTCTGCAAGCACTGCACGAGCGACTTTGCAAGCGGCCCACTAGAGCCCGATTGGCACAGACATCGCATTCGGTGTACGCTGTGGATGGTACCCGGTCAGAAACCCGATGGGGTCTCGCTCTCGGTTGCAACGAAGCAGGATACCCCCTCGACTGTCGCCGAGATAGTCGAGCGAGGCGCGACTACAGCTCTGGTCAAATCATCGTCAAGTGTCCCACCGCTTGGGCCTCGAAGTAGTTTGGCGTCGATTACAGAAGTAGTGAGTGGATGACATCGTCAGGGCGGAAGATCAAGGAATAGCACGGCCGGCGGGTGTGCGAGAAGTTGGATTGCAGCCTCGAGACGTGCGGTGGGTCCTACTACTCCTATTCCTACTACTCGCACGGCCTTCCAAGCAAAGATAGAGACAAAAAGAGGATGTGCTGTGCTTGCCACATCAGAAAGATGGGTGACGCGACTGAGGCGTTCTCCTGTTCGAACCCGATCCGTTCCAAACGCCAGAGCAGGTGCGTGATAGCCGCCGCGTCGAGAGACTAAAGCAAACGTTAGCTCACGACTGACGACGACATGTGCTTCGTTTGCAGATCGATGCAATCCGTCAAACTCGTCGTGTTTTCCCCACCGGTCCTCCTCTCCCCACCTGTAGTCAGATGTCGGTGCGCTCTCCATAGAAACGCCACCACATCGGCTGTCCAACGACTGCACGTCCTGCTCGGCCTTTCAAGATCACACGTCACCCGCAGCCGCATCTGATTCCACCAGTCCCTTTACTTCCCCTCCAGCGCTTTCACCGCGTCTTGTCGCTACTGTGTCACGCTACAGTGCACCGGTCCGTGGCCGCTGCGGCTTTTGGTGCTGCGTCGGACACGAAGACGCCTAAGCAGTCGCACGCAGTAGCGTCGGTGAAAAAATCCTTCCGCGAAGATGCTGCGCGAAGATGCGCGTTCGTCCCTTTCCACGTGTTTCATCCAATGTGGTCGCCGAGTGGAACACACCGACGCGGGCTGAGCCTTTCGCGTCCCGCGCCTCGCGAATCGTCGCACGCGGCTGGAAATTCAGCTCAAGTGCAGTGTCGGAACGGTCCGTCTGTGCCAGCGCGTTCCAGACCGGCGCCGGCAAGAGCGCAGACGCGAATCGGCGCTTCGCCCCAGAGGAACCACACACTGCTTCGTGCCCCGCGGCAGCCAAAGCCGTCGAGAAAATGGCCGCCGCTCTGCGCCGCCAAACCTTCTGCGGCAAGTCGCAGCTCGAGCACCACGTCAAGACAGAGCGCGCGAGCCTCCCCAAGCTGCACGACCACCAGTGCTACTCGACGTACCGGACGCAACGACGTCGTCGCGATCGCCGGCGACCGACGTCCTCAGCCTCTTCCTCAGCCTCTTCAGCGTCCGTCTGTCGACAGCGACAGACGTCCGAAGACCACCGCACGCGAGCGCTCGTGCCACCCCCCGAACCCAATCCACAACGCGAGTCCGCCGACGCGTCTTTCACGAGCGCGTCGGCGCCCACGTGTGACCCACGCGACGGCCTCGTGGACTCGACGCGCGCAGGCGAGTGCCAAATCTGCTTTGACCCGCTCGACGTGCGCGCGGCGCACGTGTGTGCGACCTGCTGCACCGCGTTCTGCGCCAGCTGCACGCGCTGGTACATTGCGCTCAAAGTGCAGGAAGGCGCTGTGTCGGCCACGAAGATGGTCTGTCCGGCGCCGCAGTGCGCGCGGCCGCTGTCGCACGAGCTCATTGCCGCTTCCGTGTCGTCGCCGACGTTCGCCAAGTACACTGCGTTCGTCGCGAACCAGCAGGTGGGCGTCCGCTTCTGTCCGCGCGCCGGGTGCGCTGCGGTCATTGCGGAACCGCTCCACACGTCCACGCGCCGCGTGCAGTGCGACACGTGTGGCTTCGAGTCGTGTATGCGCTGCGGCGGTGCGTTCCACGCGCTCGCGACGTGTCGGCGCGTGGAGAAGCGCTTTCGGCGCTGGCAAAAGCGCCACAACGTGCGCGCGTGTCCGCGCTGCAGGGCCGTCATTGAGAAACAGGGCGGCTGCGCGCACATGCAGTGCGTCCAGTGCGAGTACGAGTTCTGCTGGGCGTGTCGGCGGTCGTGGCGCGCCCACGACGAGGCGCTGTGCCTCCCGCTGCGGTTTCTGCGGTCCGAGAGCCCCAAGTTCGGCTGCTGCGCGCCGTTGCGGGTCGTGACAAAGACAGCGATCGTTGCGGTGGCAGCCGTTGCGGCAGTGGCAGGCGCCGGACTGGCGGCGGTGGTGCTGCCGCCGGTGGTGGGGTACCAGTACGCAAAGGACGCGTTCCGACGGCACAAGTACGCGCGGGCGTCGTACGTTCGCGCTATCGAGCGGGAGGCAGAGGTCGCGATACATTGGCGCGGCCCGATGGAGGACTACGGACGCCGTGGGTCTTGACCGACTACGACACGTGCAGTGGAGTGCCTGTGCTTTGCGTCGTCTCGTTGGTGGGGGCCATTGAGCCGCTCGTGGATGGAGAGATGGAGAGACGGGTGGAAGCTGCTGGGTGTACCCATTGATTGTCGTCTCGTGTCTTGTCTCGACGGTATCGGTGGATTGTCGTCATTGCATGGGACGGCGTTTCGTCTCTGCTATATCCGCGCGTGTGTCGGGACGCAGACGTTCGTCCACGACGTACCTCTACCTCTTCTCTCTGTTGCACTCATGTGTAGCAGCCATACAGCACCGCACGGCAACGGCGGAGGAACGGCCGGCGACCATTAGTGCGTCAACATGAGAGCACATTCGACCCTTGTTTTGTCTGTTCAGTCCCCACGACGGGCACATTGGGCTGTCAGTGAGCACAGGACGACACTCGCACTGTCCTCTTCGCGTGCCATCGCCAAGAAGAGAGACGAGAGGAGAGAGAGAGAGAGAGCGAGGGAACCAGGGAATGAGACACAGAGCAGCTGCACGTCTCGTTGTTCCTCGTCGTTGTCTTTCGCCAGTTTTGACACTGTTTAGTTTGTTTCCTGTTCCCTCTCCAAGCAGCGGCTCAGTACCGGCGACTGTCGTTGCGGTCCCATTCCCTGCGGCGCCGTACGCTTACGCTTTCTTGAACGCCTCTGCGATCGTCTTGATCGAGTCCACGTCCACTGCCACCCGCAGCAGCAGCAGCAGCACACACACACACACGAGAGACAAACAAACGCACACATCAGTGGCCACAACGACTATCTCCAGTCCGCAGCACTGCCCGTACCGCGTTCGCCGCGCTCGCCATTGGCCCACTTGAAGCCGGCAAACTCCACGTTCGAACGCGCCTGCACTGTGCTCTTCACCGGATCCTTCAGCGCCGAGCGCAGCACAACCGCCGACTGGTTCACGTACTGCAGGTACGACACGCCCGCCATGCGCCATAACGACGTGCCTTTGGTCGCCATTTCTCTCTCTCGCTCTGCTCTCGTGGACGCTCGTTCGGAGGTTGTGCCGAGGGGAGGGAGGCGCGGGCGCCCAACGTCTCTGAGCCAAGTGTTAGCTGGCCAATATCCACCAATGATGCGGCGCAACAGCTTGTGAATATGCGCGAATGACAATGCCCGAGCGTCATTCAACGAGCGGTGATTGGTTAATGGACAGACTCTCGGCAGCTCCCACCGTCGATCGACCGATGCTGTCTTTTGTCGAGTCGCCGACTCAGAGACTCAGATATCTGAGTCGGTCCTTCCAAAACCGGTTGGTCGCGAAGAGCTCACTTGACCAATCGACTGGAGATGCTGTCGCCTGCTACTGGCGCGGGCGTCAGTCTGCTGCTCGTGGCGGTGGGCGTGCTCATGTACCTGTCTGTGCAGCCCCAACTGCTGCCCACTGATGCTACTGCCGCGTTGCGCAAGAAGAAGGCGAAGAAGAGCTCGAGCTGCACGCAGAAGAGCGACGAGCCCAAGCCCGTGCCGGTCCGTATAGTGTATGGCACGCAGATGGGCGTTTCCAAGACGCTGGCCGAGACGCTGCAGCGGTCGCTATTTGCGCTGAACATTTCCGGCTTTCACTTCCAGACGAGCGTGGTGAACATGAGAGACTATGACCAGGACAACCTGGAGCAAGAGACCATTGTGGTGGCGATTCTGTCCACTTGGACGCATGGCAAGCCGCCAGAAGATGCGCGTGTGTTTTGCAACTGGATCACGGACATGACGCAAGACTTTCGTGTGGCCAAGTCCTGGCTCAGCCATGTGCCGCACGCCGTCTTTGGGTTGGGCAATGCAGAATATGATGATGACTACGCTACAGCTGCGAAAAACTTGGACCGTGACCTGAGTGATCTGGGCTCACCGTCGTTGGTGGCCTTGGGTCTGGGCGACGATAATGTCGATCAGCTCAAGCAGTTTGATGTTTGGATGGACAATTTAATTGCTGCAATGTGCGAGTACAGCTCAGAGAAGGCGGTGGCTGCATTGAACAAAGATGGAGCTGAAAGGAAGGCTGCTGATACAGCTGGAAAGAAGGAGTGGCTGTCGCAGAAGGAGTTTCGCCGTCTTAAGAGAGCTGGAAAGGTGGAAGCAGCCGCGGCAAACGGAGAAAGCGTGGAGCCTAACGAGGAAGATCGTATGAATGAGCAGTTTCTAGTGGATGAGTTTTCCGACGATGAAGAGCAGAAGGAGCAAAACACCAGCGATGAAAGTGGTATGGTGGATGTGGAGGATATAGGAAAGTCGATGAAGGAGTCCGAGGCTGCGAATATGTCGCGCGAAATGGTCACTCCGATGCAACGCAAAGCGTTGACAAAAGAGGGATACAAGATCATTGGCACGCATAGCGCTGTGAAACTTTGTCGCTGGACGAAGCACCAACTACGTGGACGAGGTGGCTGCTACAAGCACGCATTTTACGGGATTACGAGCTACCAGTGTATGGAGACGACACCTAGTCTAGCATGCGCCAACAAATGTGTCTTTTGCTGGCGTCACCACAAAAACCCTGTTGGTCGTGTCTGGCGGTGGAAGATGGATGATGCCGAGACACTCGTGAAGGGCTCTATTGAGCGCCATCAGAGCATGATCAAGGAGCTGAAGGGACTTCCTGGATTGATTCCTGCACGATGGAACGAAGCGTTTAATGTGCGTCACTGCGCGCTGTCCCTCGTGGGCGAGGCCATTATGTACCCACAGATCAATGAGTTTTGCAGGCAGCTTCACAATCGTCACATCTCGTCCTTCCTGGTTACGAATGCTCAGTTTCCCGAAAAGATTGCTGCACTCGACCCGATCACGCAACTATACGTCAGTGTCGACGCTGCCACGAAGGAGTCACTGCGCGCTGTCGATCGCCCGTTGTTCAAAGACTTTTGGGAGCGATTTCTTGCGTGTCTGGAAGAGCTCAGGCACAAGGGGCAGCGCACGGTGTACCGTTTGACGTTGGTCAAGTCCTACAACATGGAAGAGCTCGATAATTACGCCGAGCTCATCAACATTGGCCAGCCTGACTTTATCGAGGTGAAGGCCGTAACATACTGCGGAAAGTCGGATGGGTCTACTTTGACCATGAAGAACGTGCCGTGGCATGAGGAAGTGCGCAGCTTCTGTGCAGCTCTCTGTGATCGTGTAAGTGGGGACTACGCGCTAGCATCGGAGCACGCACACTCGAACTGTGTGCTGATTGCGAAGAAGAAGTTTTGTCGTGACGGAATGTGGCACACTTGGATTGACTTCTCGCGCTTTAATGAGCTCGTCACGAAGTTCTACGAAGACGGCACGCCGTTTACAGCGGACGATTACACGGCCCCTACGCCACCTTGGGCATTATACAACTCGAAGGAGCAGGGCTTTGACCCCGTCGAAACGCGCTTCCGTCGTACGAAAGATGGGAAGGTTGTTGAGTTTGCCTACCAGTCGACGGAGTCGGGATGTGGCTGAGCTTTTTGCAGGGTGTTCGTTGGGCAGAATCAATTGATCGTGTGCTTGTCCTCATTCCTTTTACTTTAGTTACATCGTTGTCGTATGAAACTGATTGATGTCATTCTGCGCACGCATTTTCCATGAGAGAGACGAGACCTGGAGACGAATGCATGGCCCAGCACTTTGTCCTTGAGGCTGTCGGATAGATAGTTGTTGCGTCGCGTGGCAGGTTCTGAGAGCTGGTCAATGCGGTCTTCAAAGAGGTCCATGAAGAACTAAGGAGCTCTGATTTGCGTACTAGCGCTTACGGACCTGAGATTTAGCTCGACAGGTTGCGCAACCGTCGCATGCACGTCTTGGGTGAGTTCGTATCCTTCATAGCTTCTGTATTCTCTTTGACTGGTGCTACGCGAGCAAACGAACAGTCGGGTTCAGCTATTGACGTACCAACTGCCACGAAAGTTGCTGCAGTTATCTCCAGAACACATGTGCTACCGAGCAAGATCACGAACGGGACGTCTTGAATCTCGAATGGGACACACAACACAAGGCACCACGCAAGTGTGCGGGACCGCTCGTGTCAAGCACATCGTATTTCGTCCCACGAATGCTGTCAGCTTCCATTTCCGTGTCGGAATCAGCACCGAAGCACCATCGCTAAAAAGTTGTTGCTGTTCAGTGTCACATCTGGTAGACCGTGAGGCCCCGATGTCACTCGATTGGACCTTTGCATCATATTGCCAGATGATCTGTGGTGTGAGCCATCCGCTCCATATTAGAGCATTTGCTATGGATAATAATGGCAACCCCAGCTTGTTGACCTTTGCTGGTAGGAACAAAAGTAAGAGAACAACATACTGTGTACGTAGCAGAGCACTTGCTGTGTCAACGATTCTACAAACGATGAGCTGAGGTGGTGGCTCTATAATTTTTCTCTTGCCCTTCTTAGTCGCCTATGCAGCCACAATGTCGGCAACTCCGCTGTGTCTTGTAATCGTAGTGTCTACGTGGAAGTACCTGATAAGCTCTTTTGCGTATTTGATAGAGATGTGCTGTCGCGAGATACTGTCACCTTGCTTTGCTAGATGGCCACCAAACTTCAGGCTTTACCTCATGTTTTCACGTGTTGTGATACGCTGTCGCATTAGGCACTCGCTATGCTTGTGGCGCCGTACAGGAATCGGGTCGAAACTATAGAAGTTTTATGGGTATTGGCATGTTTATACCGTAGGCGGGGGGGCGCGGCAAAGTTGACCGAGGGTGCCTGGGTAAAGATTGTTGTGGCAAATACACAAGACTGTGCAGCCAGTACGATCCTGCTTGCACTCACGACATCAAACGCGTCTTGTTAGCAGGTATTTGCTCTCCATTGCACGCGGAGACAGCGCATGAGTATTGCCAAGTCCGCGCATAATCATTACAGAGTTCATGTACCACCACACCTACTACGCAGCCACAAAATGTTGGCTTGAGCAACGGGTCACCAGCATGTTCTGCTTTGCGACGTCAACAATGTACGAACTGAGTGCTGGTAGGTCGGTGTAACGGTCGTCCCGGGTGCTCGTGGCCTGGACGTGAAGGTAGTGCCTTTGTCGTGCGATTGCTTTATGTCGATGTCGGAGATGCATGAACTTTGCCCAAAATTTGATTCACCGGACACCAAACTAGATGATGGACGGCCCTTCGAGGCCTTTGCCAGCTGTATACGCAAGATTGTATCGACAGGGTGCGTGCGATTGACGGCCAAGCCTTCATAAGCTATACTAGGTCAACTAACTTTTCAACTGTCCAGCAAATAGGGTGTACAAGTGTCGACAACAAATTTCTCCTACTCTGCAATGCGTTCAAGCCAACACGTATGTAAAGACCAACTCATGGGGACGTTTCCACCAAAGCATAATGAAGACAATGGTTCAATCGCCTGACAAAAGCTACACCGATGACGCGAATGTCGTGGCTGCCGTCTTGGGGTCCTATTTTGTCGCCTTGACAAGCAAGCAAAGCATGGTCTTTGTCTTTCTGGCTGCCTTTTGCAGCAAATAACGTCCACGCAAAGTCCCACAAAATAGGGAGCTCGAGTATTTGCTCCTCGATGCAATACGTGCATACCCGACACAAAGCTCATCAACTCGACATCATTCGCACGGTTTGGTACAGTGTGGTTGATGCCGCTGGTGGCATCTCCAAGCAGCTTACAAGGCGAATCGAGATTATTTGTGGTTCGTGTACGTTATCGACCTCTCCCGGTGCCCTGTGCCAACGCAGGATACACCATGGAAAAGCTATTGATGACACACGCGCCGTTATGAGGTCATGTCTGTGTCCACCTTGCCCGTGAGCTGTACAACACCATTCGACGGCAGCTCAATGCACTGGTAGATATGTCGCCAATTACTATTCCACGAATAACAACAAAAACAGAGCCCTAAACTTGCACAAAGTCGCTGTCTGCCGCGTTCACGCCAATTCCTTTTGCCTTTTCCGTTGCAAGAGAGTACGTGCGTAACGGTTCAGTTGCGTCTGCATCTATCCAAAAAGTGTCAACCGTATGGCGTCGGCAGCTGGCGCTGCCTGACGAAGTCTACGTCGCTAGCGCACCTCTGCCAACAAAAAAGAGCAATACATAATGCCAGAGACCGCTCGCGCATCATGTGAACAAAGTTGCGACGCTGTCATGTGCAAACAACAACACTTTGATATTTCACCACGTTGACGTCGACGAACTTTTTGTGGATACCAGAGGGCGCGGTGTTGACCACGCATAGTCACTCGGTCCAACAGCCGACGCCGATCGTCCTTCCCGATGAGATTCCAGCGTTCGACTTCATCATGACAACGTCAACTTGTGTCGGTCCACGAGTCCGAATGAGCTCCAAGAGACCGTGACCTTTGCCTTTGCAATGCACGCAGCACTTTGTCAACGGGCGGCCGTCATTCTCTATCTTTCTGCGCGTACTTCACGTTGCTTAGACGACAAAGTGTGATGGTCAAGTTCGCACCTGTTGTTGCTCTGCTGTCAGTTGCGCTATCGGTCGCTGCTGGTGATACGTGCAGCAATGCCAATGGCGACAGCTGCGGAGACGCTGCCGCTGCGTTCTGCTGTCAGGACAACCTCTACTGTATGCCCTGGAGCCTGAAGTACTACCAGTGTCTCCCACTGCCGGGACAGTGCACGCGGCAGTTTACCAACTACGACTTTAGCGGCGGCGACATCAAAACGCTGTACGGACTCCAACCGGGCGACTGCTGTGCCGCGTGCGTGGCAACGGCTGGTTGTCTCGCCTATACTTTCGAGAACAGCCATCCCGGCACGACGGCCTGCTACCTGAAGGCGGGTATGGGAAGTCCACAAGTAGTCCCTGGACTCGTTTCCGCCGTCCTCAACAGCTACACGAGCGACCAGGACAAGACCCCGAAGACGCGCCGGTTTCTGGCTGAGGCGAAGAAGACCAGCAATGTGCCAACAATCTGAACGCCGATCGGCGATCGATGAGCTGCACGTCAGCGGGTGTCGCCGTCAAGCAATCCGCTCGAGTCGTACTACTCCGTACGCACTGCGTTCAGTAGCAATCTGCCAGGCAGCAGTATGCAATGAAACTTGTTGCTTCCGTGTCAATGTCGAGTCAACGAGTCCTCTTCCCCTTCCTCGCCTCGTGCTTTGCCGCTCACCTTTACGAGAAACAATATGGCGAGACAGCTGACCTCAAGCACAACTACTCTCTCAAGCAGTCCCTCTAGCAAGCACATTGTCCATTTCGCACTCCACCTCTGCGCGCTCCATTTGCTATTGCTGTTGCTGTTCCTCGCTCTCCACCATGTTGCGCACGGTTACCGTCCTCGCGGCAAGTCTGGCTCTGCTCGACGCGTTCACCGCTGCGACATGCTCCAACAAGAACTTTGGCCGCTGTGGCACCGCCTCGAAACCCGAGTGCTGTGCGAGCGGGGGCTACTGCATGCCATTGACACCCAATAACTACCAGTGTCTTCCTGTGCCACCGCAGTGTGCTCGGCAGTTCACGGGCTACGACTTCTACGGCGGCGACATCAAGACGGTGTATGGGCTCCAGGCCGGAAGCTGCTGCGCGACGTGCTTGGCCACTAAGGGATGTTTGGCGTACACATTCATCAACGAGTATTCGGGCACGACGGCGTGTTTTCTCAAGGCAGGTATGGGCCACCCGAGGAAAGTGGTCGGGTCGATTTCTGCTGTCATTGACAGCTACAACAGTGGCCAGGACCATACGCCGAAGCGTCGACTACAAGGAACGGACCGCGTAGAAGCTCAAGCGCTTCTCGCTACGCTCGACATGCCCTAATGTGGCCGAAGCGAGAGTATAGTTGTGAGAAACACACAGTCGTTGTTATGCATACGTACCGTCAACAATGTTCACCGACCAGTTAGTTGCAGGTATCACACATACACTACCGATTTCTTCCGATCTGCCCTTGACGTGTCGTTCCTGTCCCATTGATGCGTCGCGAGCGAGCGGGCCAAAACTCCATGACATCGATGTGCGAGCTCAGCTATGGCAGCGTAGGACCTTATTCATGTACTTGCAGCGCAACATCATAAACTTCTTTGACCACGAGCTATAGAAATGCCTTCTACCAATGTAACGTGTGGTAACACGTTACATCATTCACTTTCCTTCTCTGGTTGTGCTTCGTATACTGCATCAGACGCGACCGAGACTGTAGCGCTTTCCATTTCGGTAATCTCAGACGCTTTTCAGGACTGTTCGGGTACGTATGAAATGCGGCGTCAATAGCTGTATTGAGCATTCGTGGCCATACTTCCGTGGCGTAACATGTTCACTCGCCCACCCATTGCACGTGTAACTAACTCCTATTGCCAGTGTTCCAGCTTCGTGTGTGTAAACGGCAGTGCTGCAGTAGGAAAGCATTCAAGCGTGTTAGCTGGATGGCTACCGTTGCCACTTTTGTCGAGCTCAGGAAACGTTGCACTGCCGTCGTGATTTTGCACGACGAATTAGACCTCGCGCTGCTACATCCAAACTGCGTCGCTGTCATTGTGTAGCAACAGATGCACTTTTACCGACGTATGCACGTGTGTCAACAACATCCTGAGGCGGATATTAGGAACAGTCGCCAAAGCTGACAATTTAATGTCACAGACATGGGGCGGCACTGGTGATATTGCATTGAACTATCGTATTTCAGTACCCCTTGAGTATTCACAGAGTAATTATTTGACACCTCTATAAATAGGATCCCTAGAAATAGGACTTCTTAAAATAAAGATACTCGGTATCTTTTTTGGCATATTGTCGTAGGCAGAGACACAACTTCTGTAGTTTGCCCGAGATATCCTGCCCATGATATCGCACATTTGCCCCGCAGCATTGACATACATCATTGCATGTCAAATTCTTCTCGGTTGTGAAAGATTAAGGCACCATTTGCTGTTGAAAACGAGAGCGTCGTGCTAAGTGCGGTTGCGCAAGAGCGCGCGGCAAGACGACGGAAATGGCGGCCACTGACTCTGTGATTGCATTGTGCGTACATTGTGTGACACAATATGCGGGATTTGCAGATCGAATGGACAGGAATGGTGGCGAGTAAAGAGTAGAAAAGACATAACAAAACATCACTGGCAGAATCCTTGTACTACAGTGCTAGAGAGTGCTATCTCTATCTCGAACGTTTGCTACATATTCTACTTCAGTGTGTGCTTGTCGGTCGCCTCTTCTTGCCGGTCTGCCCTTGTATAAGGCATTCGACAGAAGCTGTGTCCCGCTGATGTGGTACAGCCTCGATAAAGAGAATACAGCGAACAACTTCCATTTGTCGCCCTTGTAATAGTTATCCGACTCCTGCTTGCATTAACAAGCATACCAGTTCGTACATGTAATGGGCCATTGGCAATGTTGGCAGTGCATCAGTATGAGCCCGAAAATTATAGAGCGGTAGGCCGTACGACGTGGTGGTAACCGCCTTGCACGGACTGACCATTAGCTTGTACACGCAACAAGCGATTAGCGTACAGTGATGTAAAGCTGTCCTGATGTATGTACTTGTCGGCGATATCAACAGCTAGACCGTCTTAGCCCTTGAACGACCATGATTGTCCTCTTCGTTTACATGAAGGTCATCGACGTGCTTTTCAGATCGATAACGCTTGTCATGGAAACTGTTTATACAACGGTTATAGCTTAGTGACACCAGTTATTCTAGCACCGATGTCTGATAATCTTCACGATTGGATCACGGGTATCGTACAAGCCCGACTTCGGGCAAGCTGTAAGATTATGTCCATCATGTACACAGTGACCGGCGTGTATAGCTATGGTGTAGATAACTCGAATGGCCGTGGACTCTTGATACGTTGGTAGTGACAGTCAGCTGTAAACCAGCAATCATCTTGCTTCATTCTCTGCCGAGGACGATCGCAAGATCCACATGGGGATCCCCTTGTTACCGTCGTCCATGCAGCGTCAAGCATCTATTGTCACGGTGAAATCAAATCACACGGAACTAGCGACAACAGGCTATATTGTTGGCCAACCAGTCGATCTTCATCGCAGCTTGACTCCTGGTAGCTGCCAGTGTTTGGGCCAAGATTGTCCGGGTTTTCTACCGCGGCGCACCTTAACGTTGCATCAAATCTTTGATTTGCATCGTCGACGAGGGCGTTTATGAGAGTAGTCACAGCCCACGCGGCATCGAACTGATGGTTTGGTGGTAGACCCTCGATCATCGCTTGCGCCTCGACGTTCCCTAGCATTTCTACAAGTACCTGATCACCCGCTTCGACTTGCAATCGATCGTTCCAAGAGTCGCACAAAATCATCGAAAAGCGACGGTACCTCCAGGCACTTCCAGTACTAACGTTGCTACCTGAGTGCGTCTCGCATCGATTCGGGCAAGCTCCGTACTGCACGGGAGCTGCGGCATCACGACAAGGAAGTTCTGGTAGGGCGTGATCGCATCCAGTACAAAATTGCTCTGCTAAACGCGAAGCGTAGCGCACGGAGACAGCGGCTTGAGAGCCAAAGTGACGGCTCAAGCACACTCGCTCGACGCGTATGTTTGTCAAGGTGGCCAGACCCTCAAATCGAGAACTCGCCAGATCTTTCAGCGAAGCAAAGGACAGCACGTCGGCTGGCGCTCCGAATGTGGCGATTCTGCGATCCACATTCTTCACATAAGCGAGCTTCCTTTCAAAGTCAATCGACTCGGGGTCACCCGGGTCCAATAGCCGGAACGTCGTGTGTGGTGTCGTGTTTGCCAGCAGCCGATTTGATAACGCTGGGAGGCTTACCACAATGCCACGAATCTCGACGGCACCACAGTGTTGAAGCAACTGCGCAACAAACCGCTTCTCAGCATATCGATCCCAAAAGTTGACATTCATCTCGTCTCCGGCGGAGTCGAGCATGACCAGCTCTCGACGCAAGACGCCCGTTAGCTCTGAAGCAGCATCGATTCCTCCACTACCATTCGCAGCTTCTTTGGTCTCCACGTCCCGTATCTTGCATAGAACTGACACGATCATGTTCTCACGCAAATCTTTGAGCATCGACCTGTTCGTTCCCGTCTTCACCAAAGCGGCCGCCAGTCCATCATCATCATCCGTGGCAACACCTTCTCGACAATTTCGTTTGTACCACTCAATCATCGGATACAAGTTCTTGAGTGATACGCCTTCCATGTCAAAGAATCGATCCTTCCGATATAGCAACTGACCCGTCGACGACGTAGCCATTTCGTCAGTGTGCTGCACAAACTGCGCCTCAACGTCACCGCGGTAGACTTTGATCCCGCAAGAAGCAAAACGCACAATGTCTCCAACTTGTACCGCTGCGTCCAAACGTGAAAACTGCGTGCAACATGAGCTCGTCGAAGACGCTCTGTACGTCGTCAACGTGGGCGGCGCGTCTCCCCAGCACGTAATCTTGAAAAACTGTCGAGTCGGATCGCCCACGAGCAGGACATGACACGTCTGGACCCGCTGGCGCGCAACCATTACGCGCTGGTCCAGTCGAACCTGTTGCACGGCTGCAACAAACGCCACTCGCTGATTGCGATGCCCGCGCGCGTCACTCAGCAGAATCGTATCCATTCCGTTGCAAAGGTGCCGTACCTCGACAAGATGGTCACGTTGAAGTTGGCTTCACGCTCGACCAATCGGGTACACGCATTAGGGGGCACATGGCTACAACCGTTGCGACGCAATAGGGCCACGCCATCCAATGTCTCACTTTGGATTTCGCATCGCAGGCGCCGATACTAATGTCGGGCGCTCTGACGCAGACTGCGCCTTACAGTGACGTACAAGTCCCACTGCGTGTGGCGATGGACTTTGTGTATACGACCGACTCGTTGTGTCGGTTCGCAAGGGACTTCGCGAACTCCAGCGACGCGCTGGCGACGAGTCTCCTGCCGATCGACTCAGGAGCTTTCCGAGGCCGTCTGCAGCTGACCACAGCAGCTCATGGCACTGGCTGTGCTTTGTATGTGGTTGTGAAGGGCGAGATGACTACTGCTACTGCTACTGCTGACGGTACAGACGTTTATGGTGTGGCGCGTGCCGTGCACCAGCACGTGACCGAGTTCCTGAGTGGCAAAGGGCTCTCGACCGTTGCACTGGCTCGAGCTTCAGTGGCTTTGAACGACGACAAGCGGCTGCAAGTGTCGATGGCGACTGGAGGAACGACAGCAGAGCACACGAGTGTGCTTACAGTACAGAAAGGAGCGTGTACGGACCTGCTGGACGCGCTTGAGGCTGGAGCTGACGTGCTGCTGCCGACTCACGTGCAGACGAGTGCTCTGGAAGTCACCAGAGTGGACGCAGCAGGTGATGCCGAGGAATGCCTCGTATCCGTTGACGTGGATGCACTGGCTCCACAACTGGGTGCAGACGCTGATGCTTTTCAGCTGCTGAAGGCGGTGGACGAGACGATAGACAGCTTCTTCGCGCGCCAATCGACTCCTGTCACACTGACCAGTGCGACTGTTCAATTGCATTTGAAGTTGGATGATGCGAGTGGCGTCCTGGACGTGGCTCAGAAGACAGAGAGTGTGGATGCCCATGGGCCGACTAGTGTGACGCTCAATGCGCCGTCGTACAATGAGGCACTGGGCATTTTTGCTCTCCTTGCTGCACTTGCAGTCGTGATGATAGGGGTCGTGGCTCTAAGAAAGCGCAACGATCGCTGCAGTCGCGAACGCTATGAGCGCGCAAACCGTTCTGCACAGATTCGTCGTGTTTCGATTCGCATGAGCCGGTGCGATCAAGATGCGGGTCACGAGTGCGAAGGGGAAGAGGATGGTCTGCTGTAGGCTGAACCACGCAGCTATGTTGGCTGAGCCATGAGACAGCACGGGACAGCACGAGCAGTACAAGGGCGATGGGAGGAATCAGTCTTTCACGCAAGCTAATGACGCAAGCCAAGTGTTGTCGTCCATGTCGGACTCGGACAAATGCATGTGAACAAAGGTTATGCTAGCCTTGCGGTATGTCTTTCGTAGGTAATTGCTGTCGGATACACTCATATTTTCTGGATTTGGGCGTGTCATACTCACGACACTGTATTTGCAAGAACGAGGCGGCTTGGCATCACTGCATCTGCTGCTGCATACATCGTAATTCGGTCTTCTTCGTCTCGTAAACTGATTGAGCTTACGGTTTTCTCACAAGCGGTCGCAGTGACAGCGATCACGAGCTCTGCACGTGACAAGCTTTTGTATGAACGCCAACTTCAGTTACCTCAGTGCAATGGATGACGCTCGAAGATTCTCCCCATGGCGATTTACAAGACACGATCTCGCACTTGTACCCGTCTGCTTTTCCTTTGACGGCTTTTGTCGAAATGCTGATCACACTGTCGTCAGTTGTACTTCCACTTGCCACAAGGCATACCTGACCAGTGCATATCATCTCCCAATACTTTGCTTGCAGCTGTAAAAGCAGAAGATGTTAATGAAGTGAAAGGCCTACCTAAATGAGCTTGAGAGTCACCACGAACCTTTTCGGAGATCTCGGCACACACTAATGCCTGCTTGTCGATGCTTCCACTCCTATCAGCTACTCGGGCCCCGGGATAGAGTGACTGACCAGAAAGTAAGACGGTCCCACGCGCACACAGCTTCCCATTTTCCAGCTCCTGCTTCATCCATTCTAGGCAAAGACAATCGTTACGTATGACATGGCGGAGTAGAAGGCGCGTCAACGAACATCAACCGACCTGTCTGCATTGCCACTTCATCTGGAAACACTTCATTGTGGTACATAACCGTTGAGTTGGCAACAATAAACTTGATGCCGCCATACCTCAATGACGGAGAAAAGGTTAGCGATGCAAGCAGATTGCATTTTACGATTCGTACCTACCAAAAGCTGTATCGGCAGTCGCCAAAGTATTTTTGGTACACCATCATGTCATCGGGCGTGTCGAATTCGCCTGAACCTGCGACAAATACCTACAACGATTCGGTAAGCTTCGATCTAGAGAGAAACAGAATTGTCCCAGACATTACGTACCAGGCGACATTGGGGAACGATCCGGTTCACTAGTTCTTGGAATGCTGTGACTTGGGCTTCGTAAAATGCCTGGCTCGGTTTCGAGTCGACAAACTTTCCGTAGATCACAACAAACGCTGGTTTTCGAGAATTTACGAAATCAATTGCTTTGAGGAACGCTTTCGATTCGGCTTCCCACGTTGATCCTCCTTTGCCATCTGCCTCAGTAAGAGCAGCTGCTCGGCCAAGCCTGGGTCCGCATAACTGTTGAAGAAAGGGTACGTAGCCATCGACAGTGTAAATCGGCAGTCACGAACTTGGTGGACACCAGTTTGACAAACCTGCATGAACCAAAAGTTGCCCGCCCATTGTTTTTGCAGATCGTGTGTGAATCCTACGTATTCTCGGTTGCAAGCATACATGCACCGACCGCGGCTGGCCGAGCTGAAAAAGCGAGGGTATATGCCTATCAGCGAAAAAAGGTGTCAGCAAGCCAGGATATGCCCATATCCCTTCATTGCTATGCCCTTGCCTGGTAAATGCAATTTGCGTTTGCGCCGAAGAATGTGCATCAGTATGCTTCGATCAGATGGTGAGAGTGCATTGACCTGCGCCTGAATACTCTCTCCATCAAAGTTTAGTGAACGATGGACATCGAAAGATTCACTCGCATCCACAAGACTTTTGACGAGTGGAAAGAGCTTCGATCCACAAAAGTGTGATGACGGTACGACTGCTTGTATGTGATTGTCGAAATCAATGCCTTTGAAGAACGGGTGCGCTACGCAAACAGAACGAGCAGCACACATCTCGATTAACGCAATGTAGCACACCTATAAGTACACTGTTCAGATGTTTACCTTTGGCTGCACTCATTGCATTTGCTTTGACGCCGCCAAGGCGTTTCGTAGGATCTTTCTGAAGTAGCGCGTGAATCAAGTCGCGGGATTCAGCTGAAAGGTAGTCGGGTACATCGTAGCTTCCCTTTTGAATCCGCAGAAGCGTAAGGTAGACACTGCCACCACTAAATGGTGTTTCGCCTGTCAAAAGCTGGTACACAATGCAGCCGAACGCCCACATATCACTTGCATACGTCGGATCCTTGTTTTCGATCGTCTCGGGGGCCATATACTCTGGCGTGCCGACAAAGTTCGGTCCATCTAGTTTCTTGTCGGCAAGATCCTTAGCGGTGCCAAAGTCAATGAGTTTCAAGTGCCCACCTATTGATTCGCAAGTCACCATATTCTCGGGTTTTAGGTCGCGGTGAAGCAGCTGGTGGGCATGCATGTGCTCGACGGCATTGACAACGTCAGCCAAGAAGAAGCGCGCGAGGTCTTCGTTCAGCCCCAACTGCCGACCTTCATGCATCAACTGGTTGAGCAGCTCTCCACCATTAAGCAGCTCCAGTAAGAAATACAGCTTGTGCGCGTCCTGGAACGTCTGGTACAGGCGGATGATGTTCGGATGGCGCAATCGGTTCAGCGCGTGCTTTTCCATGTTAACCTCATTGAAGATATTCGGATGGCGGATCCGTAGCCGATGGATGTGCTGCTTGTCAATGATCTTGAGCGCAAACGGCTCACCCGTTGCTTTGTGCTTCACTTGCACAATGCGTGAGAAGTTGCCCTGACCCAGCGATGTGCCCTGTTTGAACTCTTCGATACTCGGCTTCTCCGCTGCGTCCTTTGCTGCAGCATCACGTCAAAACAAGATGAAAGCACAAGTACGTGTGAGTCAATGAAGTGGGACGAGACATTCGAGCGATAGAGAGAGAGCGCGATAGAGCGCATGGAGACGCAATCGATGAGGTGGGTACACAAACATACGGCTTTGGATCATGGGCTCGAGAAATGGGTCCCAAGGACGTTTCAAATGGGTGTTGTGGGACGTTTCAAATGGGTGTTGTGGGACGTTTCAAATGGGTGTTGTGGGACTTTTATGTGCCCACTAATTTGTGACGGGTCCTTTTTTTGTCTAGGCGTGAGCTCATGTTGTGTAGGGTACATAAATGAGGGCTGGATAGCTACACAGAGTCCTTTTTCTTACGTTACGTCGGCGGTGTAGGGGGAGACAAAGTTAAGTATATACCTCACACCCGACGAGCGCCAGTGCGAGAACGTCGAGCGATTGCCCCGTCACTCACTCACGCGGCGCTAGAAAGCGTGCCGAGCGACCTCTCCGTGTGTGGAACAGGTGCCGAGCACTGACTCGTTGCGCTTGTTGCCGCCGCGTCCTGCGACTGACTCGAATCTCCGTATGGATACACTTTTTCTATTCTCTGTCCCGTTGCTTTGTTCCGATACTGTTTTTCGTTCTCTTTTTTGCATCGATTGAACGCACTTATTTCGTAGTATCATAGTATGGATACAACGGACAAAGAGCTCAATATCTTATGGACGAAAAGGCTCATAAGACTATGCACAAGTGACTGTAGAAAACTCACTTTTGCGCTTTTGTGTACCCATTTGCAGCTCTTCGCAATGGCACGTCATGATACCACCTTCGACATGCAGATCAAGTTGCTGATGATTGGTGATAGCGGTGCGTGCTTCGTGCCGGGACAGCTATGCTATGCTCGTTTCGGGTGCTCCTTTGCCTCGGACCCCGAGACGTCGAGTACTGACGGACGTGGTGTGTTTCAGGTGTGGGCAAAACGTGTTTGCTGCTGCGATACGCGAACGACTCGTTTTCCCCGACGTTTATCACGACGATCGGCATTGACTTCAAGATCAAGAACATTGAGCTGGACAGCAAAAAGGTGAAGCTGCAGATCTGGGACACGGCTGGCCAAGAGCGCTTTCGCACGATCACGACGTCGTACTTTCGTGGCGCGCAGGGTATCTTGTTGGTCTACGACGTGACGGATCGCGCATCTTTCCAGAGTATCCGAAATTGGGTAGGGCAGATTCAACAGCACGCTGACGTGCACGTGAACAAAATTCTCATTGGCAACAAGTGCGACATGATGGACGACAAGATCGTGAGCACGGAGGAAGGTCAGGCACTAGCCGACGAATACGGTGTCAAGTTTTTTGAAACGAGTGCGAAGAACAATATTAATGTCGAAGGTGGCTTCATCGAGATTGCGCGCGAAGTGAAGAACAGACTGACGGACGAAGGTGGGCCGCAGAAGAAGGACTCGGTCAATCTCAGTGTAAAGCCAGCACCCGCGAAGAAAGGCTGTTGTTAAGTCAGATCGCTTGAGCTCATTGACGCGGCGTACCACGTTGGCTTGCTACGTTCTCTACATCTGCATGCTGGTCTTACTAAAACTCACTCCACGTAGTAACTTTTTTTTCCATAGTGTCAATCACTTTTACGTACTTTTATTTGTGCATGGCGCTCATGTACCACAGTCTAATGCCGTAGAAAGTTGTCGATAAACATTGTTTTCAACATTCGTGCTGTCAAAGTGTACGAACGCCCTTGTATCGTGCACATCAACAACACGAATACCAACACCCTTTACCAGAGGTGTTGGATGTCAATTGTCAAGCTTAAGTAGTTTCTGCAGTCAGCCTTGCGAAGGGAAAACGATCGACACTAGCTTCTTCTGCACATTCAACAATGAAACCGATGGCTCACGATGTCGCAGCGTTACTTAGTTGGGTGCATTCTGCTGTCGATAGCAATACGCCTCTCCTCGGTTCGTGGGCTATGTACTTTTATCGGCAATTCAGAATAGTACATCATTCGATACACGTCAAAGCTGCGGTGCTCTCCTAGGGCACTAATTAATGATGTTGTCAATGGGGATGCATTGAAACGAGCAAGACAAACGTAGGGGGATCCCTGATATTTGTTGACATTTGATGAGTTAAGAAGAAAACACGGATAAAGCAAGTATCGGACTTACAAGAACACTTATCATAAGCATGCGATAGTTTCTTTCTCTATTCATTCGGAAGTCTTCTCATGAACACTAGCGACGCGGGCGGACAAAACATCTCAAGTGCACCTTGCAATTTCATATCTATGACAACATTAGTTACAATGACGACAGGTACTTGTGTCGTTATTATGCTTGGGAAAGCTGCCGCCTTTCTGCAACAGAGCAGTTGTCACACTTTGTCATATACGTCATATCTCACCAACTTACAAAGCTGTACTTACCTACGGCAAGACGTGAAATGTTACATGTCGACTTCATGGAAGATATCCCGCCCGGAGTGAGTATCACCAGTACTTGATGCATTGCCTTGCTGTCGGCGGTTTGCTGCTTTTGACGATGTAACAGGGTGAGCCCGTTACATCATATTGACATTTCACTGCGAATAAGAGAAAGTTGATTAACGAAATTCAGAGAAATTGATCGCCCAGTGCGATGGAAGACACATTCATATATTGATCGAGCCATGACTGGGCGTTGTACCTCTTCTCGACAATCAATACCCAGTCTAGGACACGACTATATGATGTTAGTTATGTCCCGACTTGACGGACTTCAATCAATGGTCGATGGTCGGTGGGCTCGGTGATCTAGGAGGTAAGATCTGCGATCCGCGATTCTGTACGATACGGGATATATGTACATTAGTGAAGATGTGGAGAACCCTAAACAAGACTGGTAGCACGGATGCTGTGCGAAATGCAGCTGATAAGTGGCAGATAACATGTATGCAAGCTCGCCCATCATATCGTTTTCATCAGTTACACGTGGTCCACTCTCTACACCGCTGATCGGCTGATTTTGGATCGCATAAAATAGCATTCAATGAACCTGCTAAATCAGTATGTCGTGTTGGTATGAATTATCGATCGAATTTTCAATCTTAATTGGGATTTGTTCAAAATTTGAGTAGAAATTTTTATATAGTGTAATCGCATATCGGCCGCGATGCGTGATCTGTGATTTATACGGATCGTGATACATAATGCAAGACTTATCGAACGATCGCGATGCAAGATCCCGATTGACCGCGATTCGCTAGCCAGATACGATTGATATATAATATACATCTTCAATTATGGTATGGTCGACAAGTGACCAAGTACCATGAGATGCAGAGAGGCATGATCGTTCTCTTTCGCACCTTTTCACTATTTTGTAATAATTAAAGTAGAGCTACTAAGATACGTTTCGACCTCTGTTTAGGAATATAGTTTTGGACATCCGACGTATAAGAGGGCCGCTCAAGATAATACAGAAGATCGTCCCTTTATTGTTTGGCTATGTTGGCAATAGCGCTTTTTAAATTCCAACGGCGAAAGTACGCAGCATAAACACAAAGTAAGGTCGCGAGACGGCTCAAGTGTTTAGAGGACAACTCAGCTCAAATCATTTACATCTAACTCAAGACGATCCCGGGACAGACCATAGCGACTTCGAGAGAGGACCCTCGAGAAAATTCATGCAACTCATTCCAACACATTTTTTCGTACCAATCCCGACCAAGATCACGATAGTCATCGTCTCAACGCCAACCAGAAGAGTGCAACTTGCCCGACAAACGGGTACACAAGTCAGTGGGGACAAGTTCAGCACATGTTATTGGACATTACACCGTTAGCGGTGAGGTGAATGCCAGTAGAGAGTCGGCATCCCTTCGACGAGCTTGCGGTCGACACTATGACACCGTAAATGTAACGGGGCACGCTCTTGCTCAAATAAATGATCAAGGCCTTGTATTGATAACAATACAAGGGTGCGTACGCCCGAAGTCACGTACACGTGGCGTAAGGAAGCGCGAACAAGACAATACAGAACCCGAAAGCTCTGTCTTGAGGAAAAAGTAGAACTGTTATTTAATATAGTTATGTTCTTACTAAACCATCTTTCCTCTCAAACTAAGTATATTAAACTACTGTCTACTATGTGGGTCTTCTGTCCACCACCCATTGCGCGCGTCCAGCAGCGATTGGTGGTTAAATTGGTTGATGTACCGTGTACATCAACCAAGAAGTGGACCCCTCCACGGATATTACCCTTAGAGATAATATTCAAAATTGGTACTTTTGTACCAATTTTATGTAATGGGCTCACCCCGTTACAGTATATTCATAAATTAGTTACTGAGGATAGTGCAAAAACTCGTTGATACCATTTTAATCGGTAAATGTCATAGAAAAGTGTAGCAAAAAGCTTAGCATACCATGATACCTTGCCGCTGAAGTGAGCTGGCTAAACCCACATGTAGGGCTGCACTACAATCTATGGCACCGTGAGGTGTCAATTACACGCAGCTTGTGATGGAGACGAATAGGAAATGTCTTATTATTTACTTCAAGCAGGCCTCCAATATATAAATGGTCTGGGTTTGGTTTGTACGAGCTTGCAAAAGCATGGTGCATACCAAACGACACGAATGTGTAGGAGATGGAAGGCGTGTTTCTTCACTCAATATCGGTAATCATCAGGTCTTGTGATGTGGCAACTAGGTAGCCTATTATAGTACCAGTATCAACGGCACCATACGTTACACATATATTCACACCTATCGCGATAAATTCTGTTTTTCGATTATATTGTTATGGTAAAATAAATACGGTTTAATCAATGATGATGGCCTCCCTAATGCGATGGTATAAAAAACTACAACGTTAACTGCGATAGCACCCTCTGCAACGTGTAAATTAGCCTCTTTAAGCACTTCGACGGACGGTCGTCCACTTTAGCAAGGAGTACACGTCGATTGATATCGGGGACACAGTTTGGATAGAATCATATTAATGGTGATTCCAGAATACATTATCAGTTTGTGAGGGATGACGTGTGTCATCCAAGGACAAGAGATCTATAAAGAATTTGAGTTTAGGACAATATTGTATCGATTAGGTACGCTTAAGTTAAGTTGTCCTTTTACGTAAAACAAATAGATTATAGTTACCATTTTCATCTG